ATGTGCATAAGAAAGACTATGTAAGAGTTTACCCAAGCGTCTTAAGTGTGCTAATTTTCGTTGACAATGCCGAGAGTTGAATCGCACTTGCCCTGCACTGGTGCGGAGCTTTGTTTCGGGCATGCTTATCCGCTACTCACGCCGTTGCCCATCTCTCGTTTCCTCTATTTCGAGTTTCGTTGACAATCCCTTTTCATGCTAACATACTTTCATAGTTAACGCTTGGTTAGTCTTTTAATTCATTTAGTTAAATGAGTTAAGCATAAATAATTTTCCTTGGTTGGCGACTTTTGTTTGCTCTTAGGAGCGGACGAGTGTCTAAGGAAAATATGAAGAATGAGAACACTGTTGAATGGGTTTACACAGGCTTGAGTACATTTACAAGAGTTTAAATGAATGAAAATAAGTTCTAAAGTTCAAATTTGACAGTAATTATAGATTTGAATTTGGTAAGCGAGATAGAAAAGAAACCCAGTAAAATTAGAAATGCTATTGATCTTAAATCCGACTCTGCTCATACTAACCCCTCTCTTTTTTAGTCTCTGGTTTGGAAATCAAGATTTTTCCGAAAGGTTCGAGGACTAAAGTCGCAATTTTACAAACATTCTAATAAAATTTTTCAAACAGATCCTTCCGTGGGCCAGAAAAGAATAGTTTCCGCGTCTTGCCCTAGCCAAAAAGATATCTATGCTCCATATATTTAGCAAATGGAACCATAGATACGATTCTTGCAAATAAATCGGTCTACAGTTTACAAACGAGGTTTGTTCAAAAACTATCGCGATGTTCGAATTTTCGCGGGTTACGTATAATCGAGTTTCGATTTTTTTGTGGCGTTATGTTGGTACTCATGTCTGTCACTTATGCCGACAAGCTCGGCCATATTGAATGTTCACTTAATTGTTGACAGCTGCTTTGCTTGCACGGGTTTTGGATGGTCTTCGATTTTTACGTATTCAAAAAAATGGATCAAAGAACTTGTATCAAATTTTGTGTGAAAAACGAAATTAAGTGCACGAATGCATTCCGAATGTTGACTGTGGCATACGGAGAAGCTACTTTGGACCAAAGCAACGTTTATCGGTGGCACAAAATGTTCTCAGAAGGAGGAGCTGAACGAGATAAAAAAAATGATTTTTTGAAGTGCTTCGAAAATTGGAAAAACCGTTGGCACAAGTGTATAATATCTCGTGGGGATTACTTTGAAGGGGACAAAATAGATATTCATGAATAAATAAATAATTTTTGAAAAAAAAAAAAAAAATTCGCGATATTTTTTGAACACATCTCTTATATATGTAATTGGCGCTTTGTGGTTTGAAGTCTTGATGTTTTTCGTCAAAAGTAAGGACCTACAGTTTATACTAAGTCGCCTCCGAATGGTTGATGATTTATTTTTATGAGGAACTTTTGTTTTTCATGTCAGAAACCCTCGCAGCGTGGGATATTTCCTGCCGATTGGCGACCGCTTTTAAAAAATTTGAATTAATTTTTTATTTAAATTAATTTCCTATGACTTTTGGATGTTGGTCGCAACAGGATTTGTACACTGGTCTTCCGAATGACAGTACGCAATGCTCTTCTATCGCGGCCGCCCAGCTCCTTGGAAAAGTGTTTCCTATATTAGTCTGGGCAAAGTGTTTCATTAGAGCCAAATTTCGTTAGAATAAAACTTCCCGGAAAATTCTTTCTTATCGCCTGCTTAAGCCTTATCCATATTATACCTTCCAACCTTCAGGTCTCTACGATCAGTGGTTTGGATTTTAGATTGATCGGTCAGTCATTCAGGACAAAACATTTTTGGTACACAAAAAAGGTTTTTTTTTATCGAAAAGAGTAAGAAATATATCATTCAAAGAATTATGCGTCAGCAGCGACTTCACTTTCTCATCTATCTCTGGTCATTTTCGAATAGCGGCTCTAACAAGTGAGTCATCTCTGTTCTCGATCCCATAATTGAGCCAGTAGTCGGAAGGAGCAAGATCTGGAGAACACGATGGGTGAGATTTAGGTTTAGGCGGTTACACCTGCGTGAGACCGATACCGTTGTCTTATTGTAAAATCTCCTGCGATGCCTTTCGGTTATTTCTGGTCATTTTCAGACGTTTGGGCGGCTCAAACGTATTCGTTGTAGTCGATAAAATTTCACATAAATGGTCTCGCCTAGTTCTAGCAGCTCTTAGTACACCGCAACCAAGACGATCTCACCTTCGACGCTGAAATCACTACTTTTGAAACGTCAAAATCACTCCCTGCATGACTTTTCGATTCGCGTAGGTCAGGCATTAGCATTTCATCGGTTTCAACAGCACCTTTCTTCCCAATCAAAATAGAAAATCAAAACTTACCTCAAACTCTCTTTGTTTAACACAAATCCGGACTTTTTCGAAGAGAAAGAGATACCGATGCAAAATAATTATCATTGATGGATGTGACTTCTTTCCAATGAAATAGGTAATCGCTTCCAAACCACCCACAACTTACAGGTAAACCCATCTTTTGAATACGGACTGAATTAATTTGTATCCCAAAAATAAGAATACTAGATGAGCTGCTTTCATAAGACGCTACTCTGCCAATTTTCGAGATTATAAAATTTGATTTTAAATGAGATCGGTAACTGGCTCATTCCAGCCTTTCACGTTTTCGTTAAACTTGTATGCCCACCTTTCTTTCACCGCTATCCTCCAGCGCTTCTGTCTGACTTACTTACTTTATCCGGATTTTGAACTGTCAATAGTGGCCATCCTACTTTATAAGGTTGCCGTCAGTCAGTAAACCGTAGATATGCGTAGAGTTCTCTGACATTTTTCTGTTTGTAATAAGCTTAGATTTAGTCTTTTGCTCTGCTGGTTAAAGATTTTGTTACTGTTTTATTGTCAGTATGTTCCACGATTTGAACCACCTTTGGTAGTAGAATTTGCAGCGCAGCGTATAGTGCGTGCCATAATAGTATACCCAGTGCCGATCTTTTCAACGCACCACTCTTAGTCATGGACTTTTGAAGTCCTTTGTCGGTGTAAGTCTATTTGATAGTTATTTGGAGACAGTTGTGAACAAATAGGACGGTGTTCTGCTGTTGGGCGCTCACACCGGACAGGAGCAGCTCCGAAAGATCCTTTCCGTATAAGTTTTGTGGGGATATGGAATTCAGACTTGCGGTGTAGAGGCAATTTTTTTTGTGATGTTGAAGGTACGGGTCTTTTCCAACATTTTGGGTGTGCTGAATATCCTGTCAATGGTAGACTTACCAGGTCTAAAGTCACATTCATAAGATTCGGTATGTAGGTCGGGTGGGTTTCAGTCTCGCTCGATAAGACCTTATATGCGATATTAAAAAGGATTATCTCAGACTGGGGAATTAACTTTTGTTTAGATTAAGCAGAGTACACTCAGGTTCCAATAGCTACTGCCATTTGGTTGCTTTTCAAGCGGGCGATTGCCATTCGAACTTCTTTATAGTCGAGCAATGAAAAAATTTGTTTCTACCTCATCGATTAGGGAAACGGGTTCGCCTTCTCCTGGTGTTGCAATTCCACTTCTATTCAACAGGGTGGACTGATGTATGTATGTAGGGAGCTTGAAATTCCGTCCACCAGCTGGCTCATATCGAGTTGCTAGGTGCTCTTAGAAAATACGAGTGCAAGTCGAGAAGAAAATCATTCGGCTTCCTGTTGTGATTGCAGCTTTCCAAAGTCGAACTTTTCTTGTTTTTGTTGACTGGCGTTCTTCGATACACAGATGCGCATGCGTATCTTCGCTGCAACCACATAGTGGTCCCAGTCGATGTCGGAATGTACGCAGACATGTCTTCCGACTATCACAACACGATCGATTTTTTTTTGTGTTTTTCGGTCAGGCAACAGCCAGGGAGCTTAATGAATTTTTTTTTGTGTTGGAATCCAGTACTACAAAAAACCATGTGTCGGGACCTGGCGCAGTCGATTAACCGCAACCAATTTGGTGACGTTTCGTTGTGGAGGCTGAATTTTCCCACTGTTGTGCCGAAGATATCCTTTTAGCCCACTCTGACGTCACAGTCGGCAAGCACGATTTTCACATTGTGACGGGAGTATCACTGATGGGCACACACCAGCGATATGGTGAAAATATCACCTATGCGGATTGAGACGTTGATCCACCGAGATAAATGCCTGACCTCGGCGATGCAGTTTCTGTCTTTCACCATGAATTTCACAACGAATTTGCGCTTCTTTATATAGCTGCTGTAGTAGATGTCATATGGATCTATTCGCTTCGGCTTTTGTCCCGTGCATCACCATTCTTAGACGGCGATGATGTTAGTCTTTTTTGGAGAGGACATAAATCAGTGCAGTAGGCAGTATGTTGCTTGTGCTCAAAGCCATATTGTTACTATAAAATCTAAGGCGGTTGTATTGACTTATATATCAATAAATTCCAATACTTGAACTATCAGTCAGACTACGAATTTGAAAGTCATATGGTTTTTCTTGCTCTCTAAGTAATATATTATATTTCCTAAGATTCTCAAGGTTAACAGTGTTAAACCATGTAGAAAGGCGAAAAAAAACAATTATTCTCCCAAACAGCAACGCAATCAAAACGATGCTTTTTAACAACTGCCTTCTTTAGTTTGCTCAATAATTCAAAATTCAAATGCTCATAAATATTAACGGTGACAGACCATGACAAATTGCCGCATTGGCGAAAGTAGCGGATGTCTGACAGCGAGTTGGCATTATCTCGCGAGCCTGGATTGTTGTGTTTTGATAAAAAAAAGTAGCAAATAATGAAAAAAAGCCAAAACTAGTAACACAATTGACAACGGCAGGAGAGAATAGCGAGAAGATATTTATATAAATTATGTCATATTTTTTAAGATAAAATGCAAATACAATAATAACAAAAATAATAAGTAAGAAAAATATTGAAAATGTCTTTTTCTATTTAATATTCAACATTTTACAGTTACAAATATATCATTCAATTGTGTTTTTCTCTTATTTCTCTCTTTGCAGCCCACTAACTACGTCACCATAACCAGTCATCATCGTGGCAGTAATAGCGGCATTGTTGGCAGCGGAGTCGGCAGCGGTGGAGTGGGTGTCGGTGTTGGCGACCAGCCTACTGATACCACCGATGCGGCGGCTGAGACGGCGCGCATCAAACAATTGGTCGGACAACTGCAAAACAATCTATGCAATGTGTCGGTATTGAGCGATCCGGATTTGGATTCTTTATCGAATATGGATCCGAATTCATTGGTGGATATAACGGGCAAGGTTTTTTTTGGAGCAATTGAAGGATTCAGGCAGGTTAGGGGGAGAGGCCCAGATGTGGTGGTTATCCCCCCCACAATCTTTGTCTCGATGTGCTTTTCTTTCTTTCTATCTATATGTATATCTATCAATTCACTAGCGCTTGCATATCTAAACTATTTATTATATAACTATTATATGTGATAAGCTTCAGATATTTTCCACAGATTTTTTTTATTAACTTAAAGCATTTTAAGATATTATTTTTTGAATCTCAAATATTTTTGTTAATTTTGTACAGTTTTTCTGTTTTTGATGAAGATTTGAATTTTTTTTTCATTTCAAAAGATTGAGTAACTTTCTTTTCATAACGTGTTTATAAGAGCTTTTTGGCCATACTTTTCTGTCTATAGCCGACAGAGCTACTGCCATTTATGTAACTTGCAAACCAATCAAAAAAAGTTGATTATAATTCGGAAAGGTTCATTAATCATATGAAAGCAACCAAATGTAAATAGTGGAAGCCGAATTCATTCGAATTGCGACCGCAATTATAAGAATTAATTTTCTTTTCATTTCGATGTTGTTCGAACTGGGACTAGAACACTGACCATCGGAATGGTAGTACGCAATGCCAACCACTCCCTTATTGTGGCTTTCCACTACCTTGGACAGCTTTTAACAAAGTTCACCCCGAAACCGAATAATCTTGGTTTAGTTGGACAGCACATCGGCTGCAATATATACTCTACTGTTGCCGTATCTTACCGTAAGCACGCCACTTTGGAACAGCAGAGCTTGGCTTGTGCAGTGATCCAAGAGGGGATTAACAAAAGTTTAGTCAGTTGATGGCTTTCAATTTGTCTTTTTTTTTCTAATCTTAAAACACCAAATCCTTTGCATTTACTTTATTAGTTTTCCTTTCAAATTTGAGAGCGATCAGCTGAAATGGAGATGAGAAAACGCAAGATAGCCGAGGATGGGTAGACGAAACTCCACCATTCACGCAGACATATATTTGCCATGTGATTCTCTCGGGTTTCGGCGCAATTTACAGTCAATACAAATATTCGGTGAATGCTAAATTGCATATGGAACGATTGTACCGCTTTTAAAGACAATTTCCAAGTTACTACGAAGATTTTAAACCAGACATTTTTCCGTGGAGAATGAACCTCTCGAAAGTCGACCTGAATCTTCTACTGACGACGTTACTGTAGCTTTGGTGAAGACCAAAATTGATGAAGACCCACGATTGATACGAGAAATGATTACTAATGAATTGGAATTCAATGCCATGGCTGTGTCTTAAATATTAAGTAATCAGCTGGGATACAGGAAAATATCTATTCAATGGGTACCCTGAATTTTAAATGAGGCCCAAAAAGGGGGTCGAGTGCAGTTTGCTCAATTTTCCCTAAATAAATTCGAAAATGGTCAATCTAGTCGTTACAGGTGACGAATCTTCGTTCTATAAGTACGATCGAAAACCATGGTATTCGTAAAATGCAAAAGGAATTCGGTTTTTGCTGGTCAATTTACTAACTTCTGTTAATAACCCAGTATGTACATCGAAATGGACTACACGTGGTAGAATAATAGTATAATGTTGGTACGTGTCGCGAAGAGTTATAAACCGGTTTCCTGTAAGCCTTCCCAAATAAAAGGCACGAATATCCCTGCTTCCACTATCTAAGTACCTCGGAATTAGCTTTGCTAAGCCAACTGAAGAAAAAAAACGGCAGAATGAACCGGAAAAGCTACGCTTGTTGGTATCGGAAAATTAAAGGTAATCAGTCCATTATTTTCTGACGTCGCTATTTGCTAGCTGGCTTTCCATAAAATCAGTTTGACGAACAAACTGGATATCAGCCGTCTTGAACTTATAACAGGATCTCTTCCATCGCAACGTACGAGGGCACTAGAGCTCTTGTAAACTTTCTTCAAATAAGTGCGACAAGCTTCAAGCGACATTTAGTGTAGTTAGACAGAGTAATGCATGCAACAATTTTATTTAAATTTTAATCGAGTTTTAAGTTTCATTGAGAAATTAAGGTAATTATTGTCTGGCCAACTGTGCTTTAGTCTTACTAACTCAAATCCCAAACATGCTGCAGTTTAAATTAATTGTGAGGCCAATTCATAAATTAAATTCTTTGGAAACTCGCCGCAAATATATGAAACCGCATTTAACCAAAAGGTTTGTCCAAGCTAAGCGTGACATATATGCAAAATATAAAAACGATTTGATAGTGGTGGCTAAAGTTACCCTTGACTTTCAAATTTCCAACATAAAAATAAAATAAAATATTAAAAAAAAATAAAGAAAAAAAAAACCGCTAAGAATTACCCATCAAAGGACGCGAATTATATTTTAAATTTTGAATCATTTAATTAGTAGTAGTAATTTAATACTGGAAAACTTGGAAAGTATAATTAGAGAAATCATGATTTTTTTTTGATGAATGAAAAGCTGATTTATCATTTAAAATGAAGAAAGGCGCAGAAAGAAAAAATGAATTAAATTTTACGCTCAATTGTTATAGGATTTATGTATTTTGCTTAAATCAAAATTGAACAAGGGAGGCCTAAAACCTAGCGAATGCAAGCAATTTCATTAAAATATTTTTTAAAACAGCAAAAAGAAAACCATTTGTCCATAAAGCGAGACAATTTATCAAATTTTTGACATAGCCGGAAGGACATGAGCGGGTATTTCAAATTTCCTATGCCATAATAGCAATATAACGGTTATAGTTTATTCATAACGTGAAATGGACGAACAGATTTTCATAGAAAAAGCAGCAAAAAAGCGTAAAAAATGAAAAAAGAGAATACTTAAAATGAGTGAAAATGATGAGTGAGGTAAGGTTGAGTGTAGAAACCTGAAAGGTTGAAAAGTGGGAATTCCGCTAAAATATCCCACCGTTGAAGGACGATGAGCCAATAAGCCAAACGGCGCGCTATATGATATGGTTAGCGAATAAAGAATTGCTGGTTAGCATATGTGTCCGTGCGATTGGTGAGCAGTGGCCGTTTTGAAAAGGCGAGTGAAACGTGGTAATGAAAAAATATGACATATAACGGACGAATGAATAAAATATAACGTTGTCACGGCTGCTGTTGCTTCGGCCGCATTAGGCCAATAAGCAGCGGCTGTGACGTCAGAAAAGGTGTGTTTGTGTGCATTAGAGTGGTGATAGAAAGGTAAAATGTCATCATGCTTTTTAACAGATATTACGAAAAAACATATTTTTTGAACTAAACTTAAATTATATTACTTTATATAACATTATATTAAAGCTAATGAAATAAAAAAAAATAAATTTAAAATAAAATTAAATGAAATAAAATGAAATAAAATAAAATAAAATAAAATAAAATAAAATAAAATAAAATAAAATAAAATAAAATAAAATAAAATAAAATAAAATAAAATAAAATAATATAAAATAAAATAAAATGAATTAAAATAAAATAAGACTAAATGTGCTATGAAGGTCAAATCGCTATATATTATATTGTGCTATATAACAGGCTTCTTACTTTCTCCCCGTTTTCAGAAAACAAAATATTCAAGGCATTCATCAGAAGAAAACTTGACTAAACTTGAGAGGTAGGCTACTTTAAAACAAACCTTCTATTTTTGAACGACTTTAGCTGACGCGAACGAAAATTTCTTTTTTGCATTTATATTTATCGAAGCTCTTAAAGTAAATACAATAAATAGAAATGTTGATGAATACTGTTGTACACCTTTTCCTAAAAAAAATAATCAAAACTAACAAAAGTTTAAAACTATTTATTATTTGTCTCGTTTTTCGTAGGACAAACCTTGCGCGTATATGTATGTATGTGCACGTAAACCATAGCGCACAGCTTCCAATGATTTGATAAAGTGTGATAAATGAAAACGTTTTTCGCACACAGCGTTTTGTATGTAAAGTCAGCGAGAAGGACAATATTTGCAGGGTGGCCTACGTATATGATTCAATTGAACACATTTGAATATCTTTATATGCTTGATATAACCGTACATGCATTTTATGCAATTAAGTGTATTTCCACACTAACGAAGCTTTCCACATCCTTTTCGACGTCCTTCCACGAGCGTATATTGCATATTGTGTATATATCAACACACACATATATCATATATAATATATATATATATATATGCAATGCATAAATATGTTTGCTTATAAACTGACCAAACATCGCCTTTGTCGTTACATAATAGCCAAGCCGAAGTGTTTACTTCTCTATCTCTCTCTCTTCCATTCTCTATCTGCACTCAATGCAGTCAATCATTTATGGCGCCTGTTCTGATGGTCAGCTGTCGCTTTCAAGGTAGTTTCATTGCCTCGAGTTGGGCTCCCGCGGGTCTCTAGTACATGTGTTTGTCCTCCGTTATTTGTTGGGTTGCTCGTTATATGCATAAAGGTATATGTATGCAAGGTGAGTACCTTTGTATGCAATCGCGTTTGTTTGAAGCTTGAATAATGAAAACGTCATCTGCATGCAAACCAGAAAAACATAAAACATGCCACAGCGTGAGTGCGCTTGGTTAATTGCCTGGAAATTTTTTGGGATGAAATTTATTATCGGTCTCTTAAGGTTCAGACAATACGTTTTAGTCGTCTTTGAGCAGTTTTTCATATTGGTTCCGATCTTGCAGCTCTCCGTGCTTAACACACCTGCTCGTGGGGTTTTGTCTGTCAGCTTCTCAAGCTTTCTACCATTGAGACCTTTATCTTGCTCTGTTTCTGCATTTTTATTTGATCAGTCTCAGTCTTGTTAGAGACAACACCAAAGAGTTATAAATTCGGGAAGTAAGAGTTTGAGTTGGCCACTCTAAAGTCTCGATTCAAACCTCAGGAAGTTTCTTAATTAAGCTCACAGGTATATATGTGTCCGTATGATATTTTACCTCCAGAAACGGGTTTTGGTGCTACATTTGGTATCTTCTCCTCTTATCGCATCAGAAAAAAATTTGTGGCGAATTCTGTTTGTATGATTTTCCAAGTGTTGAACAACATACAAGTTTACGGTCCACT